CTATCTAAGCAGGAAGGAGCTCTCCTGAGATACATAGACACAAATGTTCACAGTGAGCCTTCCGGCCCCTGTGGGGATGCGAGTGGTGAGGAGATGCCTGATCTTCCAGTTAGTCAGAGTGCAGGTGACCTGGCAGCTACTGCAACATCCATGTCTCCATCTCAAATTGATGTAACCATGCACATTCCTGAATAAAAGTATAGATCAGAGAAGAGTGTGGTGGAGGTGCAAGAAACAGCTGCTGCTGAGTTTAGTTCCTTAAGTCTAGATGATCCAGGACTGTGGACCCACTTGAGCATTGAATTTCATCTGCCATTTTCCCCCCAGACAACCTATTTTGTGAGATCTCTTTATAACTCTTTGCAGTCAGCTTTGGATGCAACTATCTTGAATAATTTGGTATCATCCGCAAACGTAACCACTTAATGGTCTGGAAAAGGAAGTGAATAATGAACAAATATGTTGAACAGCACAGGACCCAGTACAGATTCTTGAGGCCTCCCCCCCCCACACACTGTTTACCCTCTCCATTGTGAAAACTGAAAACTTTGTTACCTATCTTTTAACTAGCTTCTCTGCAATGGGCTTGTCTTCCTTGAACTGTGCTCCTTTACCATCTTTGTCATCTAGTGGCCCCACTGCCTGTTGGGCAGGCTTCCTGCTTCTAATGTACTTTTAAAAAGTCTAATGTTACTTTTTGTGTCTTTAGCAAGTTGCTTCTCAAATTCTTTCTTGGCCTGCCTTCTTCTACTTTCACAGTTAACCTGCCAGAGTTTGTGCTTCTTCCTATTATCCTCACTAGGTTTTGACTTCCTAATGTTGAAGGATACCTTTTTGCCTTTAATGGCTGCCATTACTCTGCTGTTTAGTCATGGAGACATTCTTTTGGTCCCTTTATTGTCCTTTCTGATTTGGGGTATACATTTAGTCTGAGTCCCTATGGTCATGTTTTTAAATAGCCTCCATGTTGCTTGCAGTCATTTAACCCTTGTGACAGCTACTTTCAATTTCTGTCTAAAAAGCATCCTCATTTTTGTGTAGTTCTCCTTTTTTAAAGTTAAATGTTACAATGGTGGTTTTTTTGGGGCATTCTCCTCCCCTGCCCGGCCACCCTTACAAGGATGTTAAATTTAGTTACATTATGGTCACTATTACTGAACAGCTCAGTGAGTTACCTCTTGGACTAGATCCTGTGCTCCACTTAGAACTATATCAAGAATTGCCTCTCCCATTGTGGGTTCCAGGACTCCAAGAAGCAGACATTAATGGCACCTAGAGCTTTTATCTTTTCTTCATGCCCTGCGATACAATTCACTCAGTCAATATGAGGATAGGTGGAATCACCCATTATTAGTGTGCTTTCTACTGTTGTAGCCTCTCTAATGTCCCTTAGCATTTCACAACTACTTCACCATCCTGGTCTGGTAGTCAGTAGTATATTCCTACTGCTATACTCTTACTATTCAAGCATGGAATTTCTATCTGTAGAGATTCTGTAGTACAATTTATTTCATGTAAGATTTTTGCTTTATTTGATTCTATGCTTTCTTGTACATATGATGCCACTCCCCCATGAGGGTGAACTACTCTGTCATTCCTATATATTACACCCTGATAGTACTATCTCCCATTGATTACTCTCATTCCACCAAGTTTCTATGATGTCTATTATATCAATAGCCTCATTTAATATCAGGCACTCAAGTTCCCCCATCTTAGTATTTAGACTTCTGGCATTTGTACATTTTGTCACTATTCAGTTGCTTGCCTTCATGTGTTATTTTAAAATGGGACTCCATTGTGTTTGACTGTTCCTCATTAGCTCCTACCTCTACTTTACCAATTTCTTTCTTATGCATTTTACTAGGATATAGAGTTCCCCTTTCAATAAGTTCATCCCTAAGGGACGTCTCTGCCCAAACCTCCCCATCTGTAGGCTTTCCTCCAGCCCTTAGTTTAAAGGGTCCTCTACAGTCTTTTTCATTTTATGTGCCAGCAGTCTGGTTCTATTTTAGTTTAGATGGAGCCTATCCCTTCTGTATAGGTCACTTTCCCCCCCAAAGGTCCCCAGTTCCTAATAAACCTAAATCCCTCTTCCCTACACTATTGTCTCATTGACTTCTTAGTTTTGCCTGTCTGTGACTTACATGTCTTGCCCATCAGCCTATGCACTGTAGGAGATGTATAATTTATTTTTTGTCTGAACTCTTTGGTTGCTCCTAGGCTTACTGTTGAACACGGCAGTAAACTTTATCAATCTTTGTGGCTGTGAATTATATATTTTGGGCCTGATACGTCTAAGTACTGAGCACCTATCAGTGATGTGCTGACTGCCCTTATGTCCCTTTGTTCAGTATCTCACAGTATCAGGCCTATTTTAATTAATCAATATTTCTCCTGGCTTAGAGGCATACCATTCAATACACTATGTAACATCTTTCAATTCTTCACTTACAAAGACTCAAGTTGTTGAAGACTGTCAAACTGATCCCCATACAGCTGAGATAGTGATTGCAAGACAAGTTACTGAAAAAAAACAAAAAAATTGCTTATTATTCAGAATTTAGAAAAAAAAAAAGCAAGCCAAACTACAATATTCTAAAAATCTGATTTGTGACTTACAGTTTTTGTAAATGTTTCAGATCTTCAAAAATATAATGTGGTAATTCTGTAATTAAGTTGTTGGAGAGGTCCCTGGGAGAAAAATAAAGACCAAAACCATTGGGAATCATCATCAGTGTTGTGCTCTTCCATTTCAATAGATAAAGTTTCATTCAATAGCATATTTGATCTTGAGGAAGCCAAAGGAACAGATTTTCCGCACTTTTAACATTAGCCGGAATCCCTTCTATCCTGTTACTTAACAACTCATGACAAACGCTTCCATTTCACTTGAGAAGAATTATTTGTTTGCATTGCTTCCGTCCATTCTATCACTTGTTTCTTACAACATCCTTCCTCTTTTGGGATGATGAATTGATTAAATGCATGCATTGGTTTCTGGTGATTACTAAACATTAATCATCTGTTTGCTATATTGAGCTGCAATATTTACATTTTAGTACAGTTAGAGTAGAAAAAAAAAAGTGCTTTCAACACTGTGAAGACTGAAGAATATGATGAACCAACTAATTTTATACAGAATCACATTACTGCCCACCTCTCAAAAGTTTCAACGTTCTGGCAAGTCAAACCCCCTACCAATTACCGGCTCCACCTACTCCTCTCTCTTCAGCTGTCAATGACAGTCAATTCTAATCACTCATCATGTCCCTCTCTCCAGACTAGGCTGATCAGACAGCAAGTGTGAAAAATCGGGACGGGGTGAGTGGGGCTAATAGGAGCTTATATAAGAAAAAGCCCCAAATATCGGGACTGTCCTTATAAAATCAGGACATCTGGTCACCCTACTCCAGACACCAATGATCCATTATTTACCCTTCCCTTCTAGACTTCTACTCCCTCTCCAGCTATTTGCACATGTTCCCTTAGACATGGAACACCAGCTAGTTTAGTAACCGAGTCCCCCTTTTAGGATTCAAGAGAGTGCTAGAGCTATCTTCTGCTCTTCTCCAGTACTGGTTTACAAGGAAGGGAGAATACACTGCATGTGCCTCTTAATTATTCACTCCCACAAATTACTAAAATGTAACAGACCATAACTATCATTCAAAAACAGAACAACTTCTCACAGTTCTCCCAGATCTCTTAATGAAGAAAATGTCTTTTCAGGCACAAAACAAATTTGATTTCCACGAAGAAAACTGTGACATTAAATAGATGTTAAAGTAACAGTTTAATGTTTTAATCTAGTTGTTTCTGGCTTTATAGCTTTTCTAGTTGAATTGGAATTTACATAGGACCAGGCTCATTTTCACAAGCGGTGACGTATTGTACTTTTTTATTCAGCTCAAAAGCAATTGTGTTGAGCTAAGTTCTGAGGTACTTAATCAAACAAAGCTCTCCCAGAAGGCAATGGAGAAATTGACTGATTAAAGGCTGATGGCTTTGGTCTATAGACAAGAATCTTAAATACTCAAAATGTAGCATCAGGTTTTTGCTCTGTAAATCCCTCTGAATTTCACACAGTCCTACTCTACAGACCCCAACTGGAAAAAATCAGCATGTGTAAAATGCAGGTATTTGTCCTTTTTCTTGATCTCCAGAAAGCTCTCCAAGTGCACATGAATCCCCTCCAAACTCTACTTTGCATAACCTGGGAAACTGACCGAAGAATCTTGTTACTGACAAAGAGATATTGTTGTATAGCCACAACTCACATGGTAAACATCAATGCAGCTGAATGCCCTTCTTCAACATCAGCTTTGTTTCTGTCTGATATTAGGCTCCTGGTCTTGACACATTAACTTAAAGAGGGATCTGATCATAAGGCAGAAACAACAGAAGTTGTCTAATTCTTATTCTATTTGTTGAACCAACTGATAAAATGACCATTTCCAAAAGGCTCCTGAAGGCTGTGCAAAAAATAACTAATTATTATTAGTTAATTAAAAATAAAGATTGTTCCCTTGACAAAATGCTATGAAGCAGAAGTGTCCCTGACTAGGAGTTATGAATGGAATCAAATCATGTGTTGAGTAATATGATTTAAGGAGTTTTTATTGCTGTCATTTTATGAACTGTTTATTTTCTTACAGTACTGTGAGTGCATCACATTCCAGGAAGGTGGTATTAGTTAAGGTCTTGATACGATTGCCTTCAAAATCCCTGAATGAAAAACAAGAGTTTTTATTTATTTTTTATAAACAAATCATACAAATATTTTCATGGCAGTGGCCCCAAGGCTCTGGGATGTTCTTGTGCTTTTGAACTTTTTTACTACATTTCTTTCCAAAACATCCCTTATTCCGGGACATAAACATAAATGTCAAAGAAAGGAAATTCTGTTACTGGCCCAATTGTGACCATCCCCTCTCTCATTTCATCAGAACTAAACCAACCTGCCTGGCATTTCTCATGTGTAGTCTGTGTACTGAAGTATACAGATCAGGTGTGGCCAAACTTACTGACCCTCTGAGCCGCATACAACAATCTTCAGAAGTTCAAGAGTCGGGGTGCGCCTGCCGGGGCTTGGGACCTCAGCCCATTTCCTGCTGAAGCCCCGAGACCCCCCTGCTCCTCTCCCCACACACACCTTGCTGATCAGAAGCCAGAGGTGAAGCGTGAGGGGGTCATGTGTCCCCCTCTGATTTTTGCCAGGGTTTGCTGGCCCCACTCAGTCACATGGTGCCGCTGGGCCCCTCCCTGCACAGCAGCTGCTGGAGCTGGCAAGATGGGAGCTGCGGCCATGGGGAGAGGCAATGGCAAACAGCTGGGAGCGGCAGGGAGAGCTGCTACTTTTGCTGCTGCCTCTCCCCATGGAGCTGAAGGAGCAGCCCCTCCCTGCCGCTTCCAGCTGTTTGCCACTGCCTCTCCATGGGGAGCTAACGGCTGGGAGGGTGGCAGCTGAAACTAAGGGGGGGCAGGATTCAAGCTGTTTTAATGGTGCCCCCCCCTCAGCAGGCACCAGTCATCTCTGGCAGAAGCCCCTAGCCCACCACCCCGCCGCAGGGTCGCCTACCAGACTGGGGCAAGGGGGGCATGGGGAGCTCCACAAGCCACACTTTAACTGTAAAAGAGCCGCATGCCGCTCACGAGCCGGGATTTGACCACCCCTGATATAGATTATTATGGCAGCAGGCATCAGCAGGTGGCACTGTTACACATATGCTAAGAAACAGAACTTGGAAGACTGAGAACAAGTTTTTAGTCTGTTAAGAAATGCTGTATTGCTAGTTTTGTTGTGTGGGGAGAATCTGTGGCAGATAGAAGAGAGTTTGCTACTGGCTTTAATCTCTATATTTGGAGGAAATTCTTAGGACAGGGTAAATTTGGGGCATTGATATGTGGGGTAAGATTTCTGGAAGAGTGAATTACAAGTTACAATTAGAATATACCCAGATTCTGCATCACCAAATTCCTCCCCATTAGGAAGCTCACCTGCCCCAGACTTCTGCTACTGCATCAGCAGAGGAGTGTCACCGATGTAAGAAGAGGGACACCGGTGTCAGAAGGGGCAACTTTCTATATTTAACTTTGTAGACAACTGGTTGAAGCACCTGTCAGATGATGGTTTGAAACACAGGAGAGTTTAACTTTTGCAAATTTCCTGATGCTGTTTTGCGAATGTCCAACTCTCAAAAAGGGCTTGACCTAAAAACTCCACATCTGATTCGTTCTGTTATCTTCACAGAGGCCAAGTGACAATTTTTGGACAACCATAATTTAATGTTTTAGGATGAGGTTTTTGAAAGTGCTCACTGTTAGCTATTGACTTCAGTGGGAGCCGAGATATGCCAATGTTGAGTGTTTTTGAAAATTCCACCCTTAAATGTTAACAATTTATTTGAGTAAATAACCAGATAAACCTTTTGCATAATGTACTTACATCCAGTTAATAAAAGGCATTTCAGTACACATTTTCCTGGGAAGGGCCTCAAGTGAGTTGTTTATCATAAAAGGAAGACACTATTACAAAAGGAACTGTTGCATTGTACTCTAAAACATACTGTCTAGTAGTGGAAAAAAACATTCAAAACATAAACTTGTGAGCGAAGAGTCCATGAGGTTAGGTTAGTTACATGGCCTTAAAAGCAAGAAATTAAGTTTGCTACAGTCCATTAAGAAAAAAAAATCAGTGATTTAAATGGGTTTCCCTCCCCACTTTTCTCTGTACCATGGGGCATGAGTCACTTGCAGGTTTAAACTAGTGTAAATGGTGGATTCTCTGTAACTTGAAGTCTTTAAATCATGATTTGAGGACTTCAGTAATGCAGCCAGAGGTTATGGGTCTATTACAGGAGTGGGTGGGTGACGTTGTGTGGCCTGCGATGTGCAGGAGGTCAGACGAGACCAGGGGTTCTCACAACAAATTTTTTGGTTGCCTCAGAGTGCGGCCACCAACTCTTGCTGGTGTCGCACTGACATCTTTTTCCTAAAATTATTTATTTTTCCAAAAGTTAATAAAGTAATCTGCACATATATACGTCCAAATCATTGTAATTTATTTATGTAAGGTTTGGGAGGGGGGTTGCCTCCCTGCCACTACGTCCCTCCTCACCCCCCCCCACTTGCTGCTGGCTTGCTGCGTCCCTCCTCAGTCCCCCACCTGCTGCTCACCTCCTCTCAGCCCCCCACCTGCTACTCACCTCCTCACTCCCCTGCCAGACGCCCCCCTGCATGCCGTGAGAACCCCCACTCACTGCTGGCTCACCACTCATTCAGGAGCAACAGGGAGGAAGGGGAGGGGCTGATGCCCATAACTGCCCAGGAAGCTTTCCTGGCTGCAGGGAAACCCCCTGGTGGCCACATTTGAGAAACGGTGCACTAGATGATCATGATAGTCCCTTTCTGACCTTAAAGTCCATGAGTCTATAACAAATCTATAATCTTCTGACACTGGTATATCAGGTATTTTCTTAATAAACAATAAATAATACATGCTCATGAAAGGAGTCAAATTGACAACCCCAGAGCATTTTTTTCCATAAAATAAACTACAACCCAGGTAGTACTAGTGCCAGTTTCTTTCAATCCTGTTCCCCAATCCTATTCTGGAGGCACCAACTCTAAAGGCTTACATCCACCATTTCTTCATTGGTCATTCTGGGAAGACTGGCAGCATGGAGACCAATTAGTATCAACTATAGTGGTTTCTGTGATGTAGGCCACTGTTTGCCAGGAGCTTGATTGAGACAACCAAATAGTTTAAAATAAATCATTGCTCTAAAATTGCTGATTAATCATTTTTCATCTCTACTGACCTGGACTGGATTTGAACCAATGGCCTATTAGTGAAAGTCTCTGTATTCGATTATCAAAACCCCGAATTGTTCAATTCCCTGGAAATTATTTAAAGCAACTGTAGTTAAGTTTTCAAATAAATATGCTGTAATAATATATGTTTGGGAAAGAAATCCAGGAACTCCTGAGGAGAGCTAGACAACTAATGGATTTTTTGATTCTCTGGTAATTTAAAAAAAAACAAAAATAAGTTTTGTTTTGGATCGATCTGAAAATGACATTTTCAAAACTTTTCAGTGAATTGAAAAACCAAGGAATGTTTGAGTCCAAACATTTTAGTGGTGTCTCCTTATAAGTTTTGGTCCAGTGGTTAGAATACACATCTTGGATGTAGGAAACCTGGATTCAGTTCCCCCTTCAGCCTGATAAGGAGATGGAATCTGAATTTGGGCCTCCTACGTGAAGAGCACGCTTGCCACTGGACTTTAGAATATTCCAGTGCAGGGGCTCTCTCAGGCTAGGTCTACACTGGTGGGGGGGAGGAGTCGACCTAAGATACGCAACTTCAGCTACACAAATAGCGTAGCTGAAGTTGCGTATTTTAGGTTGACTTACCTGGCTGTGAGGACGGCAGCGAGTCGACCGCTGCCGCTCCCCCGACGACTCCGCTTCCGCCTCTCGCTGCGGTGGAGTTCCGGAGTCGACGGCAGAGTGATCGGGGATCAATTTTATCGTGTCTACACTAGACGCGATAAATCAATCCCTGATAGATCGATTGCTACCCGCCGATCCAGGGGGTAGTGAAGACGTGCCCTTAGTCTCTTCTCTTAAAGTTGTTCCACTTTTAATAAATAATTAATCAGCCCTTGCAGCCAGGACTTGAATTGTTCTAAGTTCAATCCCTTCTGCTGATCAGGCACAGGGGGAAATTTAACCCCCGTTTATCACATCCCAAGTGAATGCTCTAACCGCTAGGCTAAAACTTACAGAGGGAAGCACCAACACCACTGTCTCCTCCTCTAGCCATTTTGTGAGTCTAGTCCTCCTTTCCTTTGCTTTTGTCAAAATGCCTAAAAGTCAAAAGACATTTTTTGGATAGAAATGAAATTAAATATTTTGTTTCCATATTGGAATATTATTGATATTTTTCAGTTCAATGGAAACTATTCAGTGAGCCTGACACGAATACTTTTGCTGGACCCGTAACTGCATTTTTCATTGAGTAAAACTATTTGCCCAAAAAGTTTCACCCAGCTATGCTCCTGAGTCCTAATCCAAATTTTATTTTTAGACTTTTCTATAGTGCTCATCACCATAGTATCTGAGCACTATATAAGTACTTAAATATTACTTCAGTTTTCTATGTCTATTGTAAAAGAGGGTAGGAGTTAGCTATGTATGTCCAAGAGTTTTCAGTGTAGAAGCAGAGTTTTCTTTGTGTGTTATGAATGTAAATAAATAACTTTGACATAATTCAAATCTTAATAATAGCATAGTACTTTATAGTGTGGACAATAATGGACCTTAAAAATGGAAGGAAATTTGAAAGCATCCCTTATTATTAGGAAAAGTTGAAATGTGAGATTTATTCATGAGGAAAATGTTTGAAAATCTTATGGAAAGAAAAGAAGTATATTATGGCTTTTAACTGGTAGCAGTGGCACTGATACTGAAAAATACAGATATGAGAAATGTACAAGACTAGTACTTACATAAAAAACAAAGACTTTAGCCCAGTAAATAACTGCTGTGAAATTTTCGCTATTGGGTTACCATCTAGAATTCTAGCAAGACATAATTGATTTGTTACTACATGAAAGACATACATAAAGTCAATGAAAAATGGTCCAGAAAACTAATTCATGAGGAAGTTAGATGAGTGGTTTCTTTTTGAGATCACAAAGTGACTAGAATTTGATATCTACAGTAACTAATATGTAGCCTATGGGATGGTTGTAAGGATTGCAAAATATCTGCTATCATGAATTACAGTTTCTAATTCTTTTTTTTTCTGCAAAACCAATTACAAACATAACATTTATGTTTTGGTTTTGTCATTTTAAATCTACAGTGTAGGTACACATTTACAATGACTGACATTGCTTTTAAAAGTGAAGAAAATGGACACTCACAGCCATTTCAATTTGTCTCTGAATATCCCAGGTCTCAGACTGGTGATACAATTATGACTGAGATATCTGTGAAGAAAGGACTATAATGTTAAGACTAAAATAACAGCACCTGAATCTAGATTAGACTAACAACCAAAAAACAAAACAATACTGAAAGCTTCTTGCAGTTAGACATTGATGTGACAACACTTATGGAATATTTATGGATGACTGTAGCAACCGCCTTTGTGTTTTTAAAACCCTGGATGATAGCAATTTAACTTCTGTCTCTTACAGAGGTTATCTGTACTACAAGAACAAGACAATTTGATTTAATCTTTCTTTTCTTGTGTTGTTAGACATTTAAAACTACTGTGGATAAAATATTTGCAAATGTACTATAGGAAACAATCTTGCTCTATATGGGGGTGAACAGCTATAACTTGTTGTGTTCCTGTGATTCAGTGAACAATATTTGCCTTGATCCTGCACAATTCCTTTTAAGATGAATGCAGGCCTAGTAATAAGAACTCTTAGTATTTATATAAGCTAACATTCAAATGTTGATTCCCAAAGTTAGGCATCTAACTCCATGTTAAGGGACCTAAATAAGTAGCTTGATTTTTCAGAGATGCTGAGTACCTACAACTCCCACTTGAAAATGGCAGGTCTTCACTATCCCTGAAAAATCAGTGCGTTGTTTGAAATAGACAGCAAAATTTGGACTGAGGTGCCTAACTTTAGAAACCTAACTGACTAAAATGCTTTGTAAGCATCAAACTAACGAATCCTCATCACCACTGTAAGGAAAATATAGTAACTGATTATTATTATAGGTTGACACTAAGACACAAAGAGGTTAAATGATTTGCACATACTGTAGTCACAAAGCAAATTCAGAATCAAAGCTGGGAACAGACCTCAGGAGTTCCTGGTTCCCAGCAATCTTGCTGAGGCCACTGCCTCTTGATTGACCAAGGGCTGGTCCACACTAACCCCCCAGTTCGAACTAAGATACGCAACTTTAGCTACGTGAATAACGTCGCTGAAGTCGAAGTACCTTAGTTCGAACTACAAAGTACTTACCGCGGGTCCAAACGCGGCAGGCAGGCTCCCCCGTCGACTCCGCGTACTCCTCTCGCGGAGCAGGAGCACCGGCGTCGACGGCGAGCACTTCCGGGATCGATTTATCGCGTCTAGACAAGACATGATAAATCGATCCCAGAAGATCGATTGCTTACCGCCAAACCCGGAGGTAAGTATAGACATACCCTAAGATTTGAAAGATAGAGCACAGCTGAAATTTCCCATAGGAATATTTTTAGCAACCTGTAAGTCTTACAAAATTCAATTTGATAAATTATGCACATTCTATTGTATACACTAGACAATTAGTTATATTAAAAAGTAAATATAAAGCAAGAGATTACTCACAATATCTGAAGTTTGTATAATCCAAAAAATGCTTTCCTTGAAATAGTTTGAATGCAATTATGTTGCAGAAATCTGATAGGGATAAGATTAAAAAAACAGGGTAATTATCTTTCACAAACATCCTACAATTGCAGATGTTTCATAATCTCACATTTACCCCTTCTGCCATGTAAGCCTGCTAGGCTAAATTAATTCCAGGTGTAATATCTCTGAAATCAGTGGAGTTACACTGGGGAGGAATATGGTTCAATATTTTCCAACGAGAATGAAACTCTCTTGACAACTTCTTCAGCTTTACTCTCTGTGTCAGTCTGTAGAGGATGCTGTCTCTCACTGCCTCAAGGAACAAGTTCATTATGTCTGTGGAACATAGTCTCATATGTCATAAGGACATAATATGCACAGCAGTATGGGGGAAAGCCCTATAGAGTTTCTCACCAAGCTTATATTGTTCTGAGTTTTATCACGCAAGGACAATCCCTATTCACATTCAGGGATGCACATACAGTATATTATCACGTGCACTGAGAGGAAAATAAACCCTACTGTGTTTACACTTTATTAAAATAGAAGTAATTCTAGTGCCAGCCCATTCTTTAAATTATGTGACCCTCTCAAATGATTGTAGTTTCTGAAGGCTGCCAGTCTGTTCTGAATGGAAGGCAGTTTGGGCTGTCATTAGGACCTGCCTAATAACAAACACATAACCTCAAATCAGATGGAATAATCTCATATACTGTGTTCTTGGAGGATTTACTAAGATTTACTTTGTCTGCTATATGAATTCCTGACGTTTTAGCTGTCACTCTTTTCTCATGTAGAAAAGCCAGGATTATATGTACCTAGTGCTTTGTATGTACAGTTCAACCCTATGAAGGTTTATCTGAGAGTGACATTTGGTATGAAGCGGTTATCAGCACAGCTAATATTTTTGTTGTTGTTGCTAGTAGCTATATTTAACAGAATCACGGCACATTCTACCAGACTGTATAATTTACACAAGAGTTCCTCTTACTAAATGAACATCAGATTGGTTTCTATAGTAACACTGATAAAGCCATACTTAAAGCTTCATACGTTGAATTCCAGTAAAAGGTCATCTGACGCTACCATTTTAAAAATTCATTTTTGTTGATGTGGAGCCCAGAAGTGCCACAGAGGATCACGGCCTGATTGTGCTAGACACAATACAAACATGAAGGACAGCAGTCCCAACCTCAAAGAGCTTATAATTTGCACATGAGATACACATTTCATAGCTCACTCACTTCTGTAATAGGCCAAACCAAATCCCGGGATCCAAACACACATGAACTTGGTGGGGTTCAAAATTAGTATCTAGAACTTTTATTACAATTCAGGCCCATCTCTAGTGAAAACAGTGGAAATTAGACAGTTCCCAGGGAATTAACTGATATCCCAATAATAAGTATTTAGCAGTAGGGATATATTACCAACAGCCTGACCAGGATAGTGATAGTGACTGTGAAATGCTCAGGGAGATTAGAGAGGCTATTAAAATAAAATACTCAATAATAATGGCGGATTTCAGCTATCCCCATATTGACTGAGTACATATCACTTCAGGACGGGATGCAGAGATAAAGTTTCTTGACACCTTAAATGACTGCTTCTTGGAGAAGCTAGTCCTGGAACCCAGAAGAGGAGAGGCAATTCTTGATTTAGTGCTAAATGGAGCACAGGATCTGGTCCAAGAGGTGAATATAGCTCGACCGCTTGGTAATAGCGACCATAATATAATTAAATTTAACATCCCTGTGGTGGGGAAGACACCACAATGGCCCAACACTGTAGCACTTAATTTCAGAAAGGAGAACTACACAAAAATGAGGAGGTTAGTTAAACAAAGTAAAAGGTACAGCACCAAAAGTAAAATCCCTGCAAGCTGCATGGAAACTTTTTAAAGACACCATAATAGAGGGTCAACTTAAATGTATACCCCAAATTAAAAAACATAATAAGAGAACCAAAAAGAGCCACCAGAGCTAAACAACAAAGTAAAAGAAGCATCGAGAAGCAAAAAGGCATCTTTTAAAAAGTGGAAGTTAAATCCTAGTGAGGAAAATAGAAAGGAGCATAAACTCTGGCAAATGAAGTGTAAAAATATAATTAGGAAGGCCAAAAAAGAATGTGAAGAACAGCTAGCCAAAGACTCAAAAAGTAATAGCAAAAAAAAATTTTTTAAGTACATCAGAAGCAGGAAGCCTGCTAAACAACCAGTGGGACAACTGGAAGATCGAGACACTAAAGGAGCACTCAAGGATGATAAGGCCATTGCGGAGAAAATAAATGAATTCTTTGCGTCGGTCTTCATGGTTGAGGATGTGAGGGAGATTCCCAAACCTGAGCCATTCTTTTTAGGTGACAAATCTGAGGTACTGTCCCAGATTGAGGTGTCATTAGAGGAGGTTTTGGAGCAAATTGATAAACTAAACAGTAATAAGTCACCAGGGCCACATGATATTCACCCAAGAGTTCTGAAGGAACTCAAATGCAAAATTGCAAGACTACTATCTATCATTTGTAACCTATCATTTAAATCAGCTTCTGTACCAAATGACTGGAGGATAGCTAATGTGATGCCAATTTTTAAAAGGGGCTCCAGAGGTGACCCCAGCAATTACAGGCCAGTAAGCCTGACTTCAGTACTGGGCAAACTGGTTGAAACTATAGTAAAGAACAATATTGTCAGACACATAGATAAATATAATTTGTTGGGGAATAGTCAACATGGTTTTTGTAAAAGGAAATCATGTCTCACCAATCTACTAGAATTCTTAGAGGGGGTCAACAAGCATGTGGACAAGGCGGAATCCAGTGGATATAGTGTATTTAGATTTTCAGAAATCCTTTGACAAGGTCCCTCAACAAACTATGTGGACAAGGGGGAATCCAGTGGATATAGTGTATTTAGATTTTCAGAAACCCTTTGACAAGGTCCCTCACCAAAGTAAGCAGTCATGGGATAAGAGGGAAGGTCCTCTCATGGATTGGTAACTGGTTAAAAGATAGGAAGCAGAGGGTAGGAATAAATGGTCAGTTTTCAGAATGGAGAGAGGTAAATAGTGGTGTCCCTGAGGGGTCTGTACTGGGCCCAGTCCTATTCAACTTATTCATAAATCTGGAAAATAAGTAAACAGTGAGGTGGAAAATTTGCAGATGATACAAAACTACTCAAGATAGTTAAGTGCCAGTGTAGCGGGATGGTCACCCACTCCTGCCCTGAGGGGTTTAAAACAGCCCTGGAGGAGGGCTGTGGAAGGGCAAGACGCCTGGGCTGATTGGGAGGAAGCAGGCTCAGCTGGGGCCACGCCCCAATCAGGGCCCAGCTGGCCCTATAAAGGCTTGAGCCAGGAGCTCAAGCAGAAAGCAGTCTCTCTCTGACTTGAGAGGGAGACAGGCCTGGCTGCTTGGGAACTCACCCAGGGGACCTAGAGGGAGGCAGGGCTGGGGAAAGGCCTTAGGAGCAACTCCCCAGGCTGCAGGGCCTAGTTCTAGGCCCACCTAGGCATTGGGCTTGCAGAGGGGCAGCCGGAGTGTGGGTAAAGGCAGCCAGTCCAAACCCCGTGTTGCCTATGATGATCGGCTGATAGACTGCAGTTCGCCCCAGGGCGCAGGGGCTAAATGGAGACTAGCAGTAGCCATGACTGAGGCGACGTGGGGATATGGGGGTGGGGCTTCCCCTGGGGTGGGGAAACCCAGTAAGATGGTGGGGTACTGCAGGAGACAGAACCCTGAGATAAGGGCACTGGGGTCCTGGGAGGGACACGGGGGGGCCAACGGCAAGCAGATCACCGGCCTGCAGAGGGCATTCCTGGGTCGAAGAGCTAATTCCTGAGGATGACCAGCAGGAGGCGCTGCAGGGGTGAGTCTGCACTGTGCTACACCCAGGCAGACTGTGAAGAGCTACAAAAGGATCTCTCAAAACTGGTGACTGGGCAGCAAAATGGCAGATGAAATTCGATGTTGATAAAGGCAAAGTAATGCACATTGGAAAAACATAATGCCAACTATATGTATAAAATGATGGGGTCTAAATTAGCTGATCTCAAAAAAGAGATCTTGGAGTCATTGTGGATAGTTCTCTGAAAAATCCACTCAATGTGCAGCAGCAGTCAAAAAAGTGAACAGAATGTT